CAGGAGCAGCTTGGGAGCAGGGCAGGGGTTGCTTGCTGCCCCTCTTCCCCCACCAGCCCTACCCCTACCCTGCCCCACCCCCGAGCCTCTTGGAGGGGAGTGAGTGAGTGAGGCGGGGGTGCACTTCAAACCGGATCTGCCCGTGTGAACGAGCGGGGCCAGGTGGAGGTGACCTCCGCGCCGCATTCCTCCCGCTCCCTCTCGGCGGCTGAGGGCAGGAGGAGGAGGAGGAAGGGGGGGAGGCCCCGAGGCACTTCTCAAGCAAGGGCGCGATTGTGCTGATCCAGCCCCTCTCCTCGGGACACATCAAAGGGACAAATGGCTGTGGAGAGAGGGAGGAGAGAGAAAGGAGACGGAGGCAAAATGCAATCAAGGGCGACCGAGTCAGCAAAAACCCGGCCGGGGGCCCTGCGGGAAGCATGAGGCGGGTGCGACCCCTGCTCACCGGCTCCCCCCTCCCCCACCGCTCCCCTCCAAGCCCGCAGGCTGCCCGGGGAGTTTGGGCAAACTCCTGGGCAGGTTCCCCTTGCAGCCACACAAAGGAGGAGGGAGCAGAGGCAGCTTTCCCCCCTGTCCTTCCCGAGGACTTGGAGGGGAAGGTGGGCTCGGAGCCGGCTCTGGGTCTGCTCCCCCTCCTCCCCCGCTTCAGCTCCTTCTCCCTTGGCTAGGAAGGTTCCTTCTCACCTCGTAAATCAAAGAGGTCTGGCAACCTCCGCGGTGCTTCCCCACCTACAAAAAGGAAGCGAAGCCCGGCTGGGGGTTGTGCACAAGAGATGCCCCCGGCTCTGGGAACTCGTGGGGCTCCGGGGGGGCACTTTCCCCTCCTGGGGAGAAGCCGGGGTAGTCTAGACTAGCAAAGACTTCAACCAGAGGGGTGGGGTGGGGTGGGGGGGGTCTTCCTGCTCACCACCCTCCCACCGACCCACTCTTCACTTAGCACGCGGGTGATCCCAGCGGGCTTTGCAGGCTTGGCTTTATTTCTGGAGACAGACAATCCTTTCAGGGTTGAACAGGGGCTCCCTGGCCCGGTTTTACCTCTCGCAGCTGCCACAAAGCACAGAGCAACTTCCCAAATGGCGGCTCCCGGCCTGGCTGGATTTCGCACATGCACGGGCCACTCCTCGGGGTAGTTGAGCAGGCAGAGAAGTGGGTCTGGGGCGGCTCCTTGGAGGATTTGGGTTAGACCGTCCCTGAGAGAGGAGGTGTTGGCAGGCCTGCAATCCCACAAAGCTCTTCGGAAGTAAAAAAAGAGAGCCCCTCTGTCTTGCCTCGTGGGCTTGGCGCCTGTTTTCGAAACAAAACACAATTCAGAAACAGCCCCTTGTTCTCTGGGCCGCGGGTGCCGCCGCGTGCGTTCCCTTTGGGTTGAAAACCAACGATTCTGTCACTGTCGTGAAACATCGCGTTTCCCCTCTTTCCCTGCAGTGAGTCCGATGGCAATCCCAGCACCGAAGATGAATCCAGCAAGGGCCAGGAGGACCTGTCTCCGCATCCGCTGTCCAACTCGTCCGACGGCGTTACCAGCCTGAGCCTCCCCAGCCCCATGGAGCCGGTGTACATGCAGCAGCTCGGAAACGCGAAAATCTCTCTAAGTTCTTCTGGCGTTCTCTTGAATGGGAACCTCGTGCCTGCCACTACTTCTCCTGTCTTCCTGAACGGCAGCTCGTTTCTTCAGGGACCCAATGGTGTCATTCTCAACGGACTCAGCGTGGGGGCTTCCCAGACTGTGACTTTAAACGCACCCAAAACCACTTCGAGTGCGGTGAGCAACGGGGTGTCCATCACCGACATATTATCATCCTCTTCCGAAGATGTCAAGGACTTCAAAATCCTCCAGGCTTCTGTGTCTAGCTCTGCAGAGGCACCCACATCGTACAGTCCCAACAACGTGCCCGTCTCTTTCCCGGGGTTGATACCCAGCGCGGAGGTGAAAAGGGAAAGCGTACAAACTGTTGCCTCTCAAGATGGAGGCTCCGTTGTTACTTTTACTGCTCCCGTCCAAATAAACCAGTATGGCATTGTCCAGATCCCGAATTCAGGAACAAATGGTCAGTTGCTAAACGGAAGCATCGGTTTTTCTCCTCTGCAACTGCCTCCGGTTTCTGTTGCAGCTTCGCAAGGTAAACCTTTTCTTTGTTACACTCAAGATTTTGGGGGAAAACAATGGCGGGCCTTTCGTCTTTCAAAACATGGGGTAGGGCAACTCTCTGGCAGCAGCCAGGTGGGGTACATAAAATGATACATTGCCCCTTCATTATAACCCCGCTATGTAACACTCACTATGCTCGATTCTCAGGGGTGAGGTTATATCTGCTTAACTTTTTCCTTTTTTATACACTAAAGTAAAAAGGAAGGCCTTCCTTTTTTATACACTAAAGTAAAAAGGAAGTGCAACTCTTTTGTTTCCTCTTTTTTTTTTTTTTCTTATTTCATACTATTCTCAAACATCGTCTGCATGAATCTTCAAAATTACAGGAATGTGTTAAATTTGTGAGTATGTCGCAGCTCAAAATCCTTTCCTGTTTTGCTACTTTGTTAAAAAAATATATTGATACTCAATCTTGAGGTGAAAACCAGCAGCTTGAGGTTGCTGTTTCTTTTCTAACCAAAACACAAGGTAAAATGACTAACTGTATGGATACAACATATGGAGCCAATCAGTTGTGCTCCTAAGTTTCCATCCTGTTATTAAGACTGAGTAAACTGAAGAGAAACAGTAGAAATATTGCTGGTAGATATAAAACATGAGGATGTTTTGGATAAAAGTTCCTTTAGCCTTAGGAAAATCATGTCATCATAGACTCAGATGCAAAGTATGTGAACTCCTCCCAAAAGACTGCTGTAGAGTTTGTCTTAGCATTTATTGTAGACATAGATTGATTGTTCTGGGCAGTCGGAACAAAACCTCAGTAAAGCAAACCTGGTTCTAGATCATTGTTTTGATGGGGGTGAAGTATCAATTGTGTGCAAAACTTGCACCTTATTAATCATCGGTGTCTTGGGGTTCTGAAAATGGTTAAACTCAATATGAACCTCTCTGCAATAGCAGAAGCCATGAATAATATAAGGGAAATCAAATTGTGCTGAGTTTTAGCTTGTTTGAGTGATGTGTGTGTAGGGAGTTAATTATTTTTCCATTAAAGGGAAATTTTATGAAGGACACTTAGTGGAAACTATAACTCGACACAATTTTAAATGGATAAAAAGAAATAATATGCAACCCTAAAATGTGGAACTTGCTGTCATTGAAAAGTATTAAATAAATAGTTTAGCGAGCTGAAAAAGGATTGGACATTTTATTTGAATGCCATCTACATTTTACAAGAGCAAGAATAAAATTACAAGGGCTGTTAACCTTTCTGCTCCAAGGCATAAACTGACAGCCAGCAAAGCTGAGGAAGAATTTCTCTCTCTCTCGAGTAGATAGGACAGTTGCACACAGAAGCTAAGAAGCGGTAGAAGCTATTATGTGACACATTCAACATTTTCCTGCTTTTAGGGAGATGGCACCAGAGTAGGCAGATGGTTCATCAGTTCCCGGTGGGAATTCCTGCATAGAGAAAAATCGGAATCCATATTTATACTGCTTAAGGCTTTTCTATAACTGTGCAAGTAGTAACTGATTTTGTAGTCATACTGAAATTCATTACATATTATCATAGGTAAGCTGTTATAATTCATTTCTGTCTCATTGTCCAGTGGCTTTGAGTTGTTACCCTTCATTTTTTCTCTTTTACTGTAATACTTTTTACAGTATGAATAACCAAAAAAGAGACTCTAGGAACATCCTTGAAAATAGCGGTTAATAAAACTCAGAGGGAGATAAGCAGTTCTTATTTTACAAATGTTCCCCAAGTGAGCTATGCACCTTAAGTGTTATAACAAAATTGTTGCAATAAAGCTGTCCTTAAAACAATTACAGCCTCTTAAAAGTGCATGTATATAAATAATATACCTTGTCTGCCTATATATAAATAACAGCTTCCTGAAAGAGGAGAAGGATCTGAGCTGTTTAAAGTGGGAAGTGGCTCTGAGTGACGATTCATCTTGCTCTTAGACATGCATTGCAATAGCGACTTTTGCCAGACCTGCTGTATAACCAATTTCAGGTCCAATTCTTTCACTGTTACTCACTTAGAGTAACACCTGACTCACAAGCAGTGCCCTATATTTCAGTGGAAGGACCCAACCTGAGAGCAGCGCTGTATCTCGGGAGTGAGGGTGGTCGAACTCGGCTCTTACAGATGTGTTCTCAGAATTAGTTTGAATAGGCAAAGGGAGGTGGATCCACAGATGTAGTCAGCCTGACGGAAGGTATTGTTTCAAGCTTGTTTCTGCAGGGTTACACACACAGCTTTAGCTTAGCAGTCATTTAGTTTGTGCGGGCTTTTTATATACTGTTCCGCGTGTGATTTAACTCTGAGCTGAACTGAATTCAGTAGAAGATTTTTGAGGTTCTATTCTTAGATGGAGATCTAGTGAGAATTGCTAGTTGGGGCCAAAGTGTATTTATTTTAATCACACGGCTATAACCTCTTTGGCCCTTAATGCAAGTCTGAAAGGTGTTAATATACCAGACTCCATTTCCTGGTCAAGAAACAATCCTGTCAGCCAGGGCTTTTATTCCTTCGTACCTAATGTTCTCAACGCTGTTGTGAACAAAATTGCTTCTATGCTGCCTCTATGTCTAGCAAAAATTTCCTAAAGCTGAGAGGACTGAAGGTGTGTATTAGAACTGCTATACAGCTTCCTATTGCTTATAACCTATGCTCTCTTCTTTTTCTTTTTCTTCTTTTTGGTCTAGGTAACATTTCGGTAAACCCAAGTACGTCAGACGGGGGTACTTTTACAAGTGACTCTTCAACGGTGCAGCAGGGAAAAGTTTTCTTCAGCCCCCTCACTCCCAGTGCAGTGGTGTATACGGTTCCCAATTCAGGTCAGGCAATAGGGACTGTTAAGCAAGAAGGATTGGAAAGAAGCCTTGTGTTTTCCCAGTTGATGCCAGTCGGTCAAAACACGCAACTAAATGTAAACATGTCTTCTGAAAACGTATCTGGCGGAGGCCTCCCGTCCATGGCTTCATCGCTGGTCAACGTAACTCCCCCCCATAACTTCCCCCTAGCTCCACCCACCCTTTTAAATGCTGCAGAGCTGAACTCGGGTATCTCAGAGAGCCAGTCCATGTCAGCACCTGTAACAAGTACGTCTACTGTGATATCAATCAGCAACACTAACTATGCAACTCTTCAGAACTGTGCCCTCATTACTGGTCAAGATCTAATGGCATTGTCTACAGCACAGCCTGCACTTGGGGAAATAGTTTCACCGCCCGAAGACCGCGTCAGCCATCCGTCCGCATCGGTTCACCCAGATTTTGTGAGAGAGCACAGGTTAGTTCTGCAGTCGGTACCCGACGTCAAAGAGAATTTCTTGTCAAATTCTGAGAGCAAGTCACCCAGCAACTTACTGATGCTGGATACGAAATCCAAATATGTTATGAGTAATATGGTTGACCCCGTCTGCGAAGAACTGGAAACGGACAAAAAAGAGCTTGCCAAACTCCAGACAGTTCAGATGGATGAAGATATGCAAGACTTGTAACTTTCTTGCTTTTTGTTTCAGCAGAGAAGTCTCCTCGTGAGGCCGTAAAAAGCCACCAGGTGTTTTCTCACGTAGAGAAAATACCAACGCAGCTCAAAACAGAAGAGCATTGGAATAGTCTGCAGTAAAGTACATGGGAATCTACAGTAGTGGAATTAGGTCGCCACGCTTTGTTTGCATGCAATATTCTCTTTCCTCCAGATTAAAGGAGAAAGGTTAAAGGAAACGTGGGGGAAAGAACCAACCAAGTGGGTATCGGTTTGGCTTACTAATATAGCCCTGAGAGTTTAACCGAAATCTCCACGCCATGACGTAATTTCAAAAGTAAATATACACTCCTCGCGTTCTGTAGGAAGATCTTTATAAAATGGTAGAAACAATGCAGGAAATTGAAACCTCTCTCTAAAATAAGTAGAAACAATGCAGCCTTTTTTTGTTTTGTTGTTGTTTACTTCTAGTCCATGGGCATTGAAAAGTTTTCAAGGAACTCTAGACGGTACCTCATAAGCTTCTTTTATGTGGCTCTTTGAGGTTAAGAAGCAAAATGCAATTGCAAATAATACTGTTACTGTCTTTTTCCAGCAAGACTTGTGTTTTATAGGGAAAATCTTGCATCAAACTTTTTCAGGTTTCTAAATGTTATAACTAACCATTTGCCAGTGCGGCAGAAAAGAAAGACCATTTGAAACTCTAATTATGCAACTCAGAAGCTTTCACTCCAGTATGAATGTAAATATTGTTCCAGTTATTATAAAGGAGACTTTTTTAATTAGTACAATGGATTTTATTTATGGTTTATGTTCCCTTTCACTTTAGACACAATGCATTGAAAAGGAAAAATTGTTTTCTGGCTGTTTTAATTTATTTTTATTGTTTGAGCAGGAAGTAAACATAGTTATTTCTGACAGTTTTACTTTTTTTGTAGGGTTTTCAAGCGATAGACTGTAAAAGTAAAATGTTAATCACACGGAAGCTAGAAAGTGATCTCCCAATATCTGAGTCTGGGACATTTTTTCCCCCACCTTTGTGTTCAGTTGTTTGTTTGGTTGGTTTTTGTTAGTAGTTTTCAAATGAGTTAAGTCGTATGTATTTTTTACAGAATTCTACGTGCCTTTCTTCTTAGTGGCCTTATATCCTTGTTACTAAAGCACAGTGGCAGGAAGAATGGAGAAACTGGCCTGCAAGTATCCGTCCTCAGGGCCAAATCTGCCTGCCTTACCTTCATGAGTAGCCCCATTGATTTCAATGCACCTGCTTGCCTGAGTAAGACAAGTAGGTCCCTTGGTCATTGCGGGTGAAATTCTGCGGTGGTATAGAGCTAGAGTTGGGCCTTCTGCCCATGGTCCCTCTGGGAATTTCCTATGCTGAACACCCCTGCAGAGGAGAAGGTATCTGCTCTGGCCCCAGACAGGCCAGCGCAGAAGGCTGTGATGGCCTGAGCCAGGGAAGGGGGCTCTACAGTTACAAGGATCCACTAATCCCAACATCCCGTGCAACCAGCATGGGTGGGCTTCAGCTGCTCTTCTAGCAGGCAAGCCCTGATTCTGGGATATGCTTCGCAATGAATTTGTGCATCCCCCCTGGGACCAGGGGCTGGAACAGCAACATCCCCACCCCCCCCCCCCCCCCTTCCCCCCACCAAATGACTAGTAGCAGCAGTGTTCAGTGACTAGGTGGAGATAGATTTCACCTCTCAGGCCTCTTTATGCCCTGCAGCCTGGACAACCAGGCTCTAGCCAGATGGAGCAGATTTCACCCTTAAGCTGTAGGACTTTTCGTCACCTGAAACAGCACATCCTTCGGCTTTCATAGCAATGCAGATGTACCAACTACCTTCTGCCAACCCTTTTTTTTTTTTTTTTTTTTTTTAATTTTAATGAGAATATAAACAGTAGCTAGAGCCCCTAGTCATGTTCCCCATCAGGGGCCTGGCCCAGAGCCCATTGAAACTGAAAACCTTTCCATCCTAGACTTCAACGGGTTTCCCATCAGGCCCACAGCAAAGCATCTTTGTAAAGGACGAGAGCAGCTTAAAGAAAAGGAAGCAGAGATCACATCAGTCCTGCACACGTGCGTCTCAGTCCCGTCCTGTCCCGAGTGCTAGCAAAAGTGTTCAAAGGAATCTGTTTTTCAGCGTGCTGTGAGTGTGACACTGACATCCTCCTCGCTGTTGTTTTGCACTATACTGCGCACAGGTCATTCTTGTCGGTACCTGCACGGACTCTCTGAGCTGTGCTGCAGATTGTTGTTCTAGTCCAGTGGTGCTCAACCTCTGGCCTGCAGGCCAGATCCAGCCCACAGAAATTTCTGGAATTTCTCCTGCTGCAAAATTTCTGGATCCATGGGAAGTCCACAGGGCTTCCCATGGATCCAGAAATTTTGCAGCAGGAGAGTGGTAGCAATTAACACTGCCACCATTCCCCTGCCACCAAATTTCGAAGCCCTGCAGGCCAAATGGCAGGGTCCTGTGCATGGGACTAGGGCTGTAGGCATGATCTGGCACAGGTTATGATCCAGCATGTGGGGCCAAGGCAGGGGAGGGCCTGATCCAGTGCACAGGGCTGGGGCTATGCAGTACACTGGTTTTGTGTGCTGGGTCGGGCCCGTGAACTGAGCCCACACCAGTTCTCTTGCCTGCAGGGCCAAGAGGTTGGGCACCACTTCTCTAATCGATACTTCAAGCCTGAGTGGAGAGTGGGAGGAATATGAGGTTTAGGTTTTATAGTAAGAGGAGCTTACTGATGCTCTCCAACCTATATTGGGGGGAAAAAAGGAAGCAACTAATCATTTGGCTACCTCCCAGCTTGCATAGAGGTTGCTAAAAGCAAGCGACTGAAAATGTACACTATTACTGAATATAAAACTTAGAGCCATAGATTGCCCTTGTGCACCTCCCAGTGACCACAGGTGTGATCTGAGCACAAGGCTTGGAGTCGGGGACTCTGACTCTCTTCCCAGGTACTTCTCTGGCCCCTATTTCTGTAGTGTCTAAGCCAGTGGTTTCCAATTGGTGGTACGCAGACAACCTGTCAGTGGTACGCATTAATTGATTTATTATAATTGTACTTTATGACAAAAATTTGCTGGTGGTACTTAAGGTTGTATTCTTTTTTAATTGGTGGTGTACAATCCTATGACCCCAGCTGACTTCCTGCCCCTTGGGCAGGAGACTGGACTCGATGATCTTCCAAGGTCCCTTCCAGCCCTAATGTCTATGAAATCTGTCAAGAGTTTGGGAACCACTGATCTAAGCATGTTTCAGATACCCCGAATAGCCTTGGGCAAGCCCCTTGTCCATCCTGCCTCAGTTTCACCGTCCAAAAATGAAGACAATAATAGTCATTATCTGTGAATTAATTTGCTAATGTTTGCTCAGTTCTTTAATGGTTAGAAGCACCATATATTATCATTTATTATTACTATTACTGCGCTACTGGAAATTGTATGCATGGGTTGAGAGCCACGTATGACTCGAAGTTGTAATAAGGCTAATGTTTTGTTTTGCAAACCTCCAACCTTCAGTAAAGGGAAGTTTAACAAATACTTGAGACATTTTCTCAGCTGTTGAAACAGTCAGATGTTATAAAGGAATTACTGTGTTGATCTACCAATACACTTTGCTGGTTAACTTTTTTTCTTTTTGCATTATTTATGTTACTGAGGCTCCGAGTTACATGGCTCATCAGCATGGTTGACGTGAAAATGGTATCTGTTGTTACAGTAATAGGCATCTCAGAGTGCCTGGTACTTCTGGCAGGGGATTGCCCATTCTACAGAATGTGGGATTGGAGGATATATATAAAGTGTGGTGGATTGGGACAAAGCGTAAGATCAATCTATCCTAGTCTTCCAGAGATCAAGTGATGACTTTTTTTTTTTTTAAACACTTTTTTCCCTCCCCCATCATAAATGTTATTCCCTCCACATAACTCAATTATAACCTCATTGGCCACGTCCACAAGTGGCATGGACATTTGGTTCCCCAGGGAGCCGCACGCTAGTTGTCCACTTGTATGGCCGCGCTTGTCTGGACTTGGCCATTGTTTCTGCAGATACATATATGCACAGTATGAAAAGTCATTGCACAGCACAATGTTTTAACTATCCATTGCAGAAATAGTAGTTTTATTCCTACTGCAAAACAAGGATAGGTCTTTCTTATATGGCCCTTACATCTATGATCAGGCAAGCAGACTAACTGCTTTCATTACACGGTATCTGTAGCCTTTTACAATAGTTTGGGCTAGATCTTCAGCTGCTGTAAATAGGCATAGCTCTGTTGACTTCCAACTGAGGAACTGGGGTGAAACCTAGGAGATTTAGATGCATAAGTCCCATTGACATGATTGGCACTGTGTGTCTTGGTCTGCTGTACAGCTTTGTAAAGGTCAGCCTCGATCTTTACTAGGGTGTTCTATTGTTTAAGTGGAAGATGTATTTATATTCCTGTCAATCATAAACATCCCTCTTTCTCCTTCTAAAGTGAATGAGAATAAAGGATCCTTTAATCTTCATATAGGCTAATAAACTTCCTTTAAAAAAGTGAAACTCAGATTGACATTACACAGTGGCCATATACAAAGTAGTAAAGTGTTCACTGACATAAAGCCAAGTCCACTGGAAATCTTACTGGAAACTTTCCTGAATTCTATTAATTTTTTTCCTACAGATTCTATAGAAGTGTTTGGAAAAATCTGCTGAAAGGTTCCCTCAAAATTTCCAATTGCCTCAAAATACTATTTTTTTTAAAGGCTGTATTTAGTAACTTTAAATAACTTTTATGTCACCCAGACTTTTAGTGAGAACCAGGGAGTCATTTAATATCATATTCTGCCAATTGCATTTTTAAAATATGCATGCTCATTCCTTTGCAGATGAAACCAGCTGCATGGAATAAGCTTGTTTATGGAGATGTCTAGGGCAAATCAACCACTGTAAATTGGAAAAGCTCCATTGATTTCACAAACAGTTTGGTCCTGCCAATGATGTGACCCTGCAGGTACACCATGGGTGAATCTGGCTCACTTACAATGGCAGAAGCGAATTAATTAACCAGGCTGATACTGAGACTGTTATAATGGGGTTTCTGAATTTAATACTCTATTGAAACCTAGACCTTTTACCATTACGGTTTCACCCTGCCTGTGACTTCAGAAAGACCGCCCCAGTGATTCAGATACAGAATGCTGCTTGCCTAACCATGTTGATGGAAAACTTTTTCTGTAAAAGAACCTTAAATTCTGCTGAACAAACTGGGAATATTCAATGTCCATCAGGTGGCAATAACAACTAGCTTCTGCCCTCAGCTCCTGTGCAGCTGGATTGATCATTGATAAAGCTGCAAGGGGTAAAATATGGCTCCAGGTATGGAGAAAACTTGGAAATTTTCCTGTTTCTAGATTTCCAGGGCCCACAGCTTTTCTGGCAAAAGTGCAGATTAGTAATCAGCAAAATGCATCTCTCCTGCTTCATAGGAAACAAGCGTGTAGGACTCTAATAGATGTATGTCGAACAGCTATCATGACCATGAGGCATCTCAAGTCATTAAAATAGTCATATTTTTAAAAATCTGGAAATGAAATAGCGGCATTTTACCAGAAAGGAGACGCACAGTCTTCCTGTATCTCTTAGAAGTTAGATCTCAAAGGATATTTTCTATCTAACTTGTTTGTTTCCTATCATTTAAAACTACCTTTGTACGTTTCTAAACTCAAGGAGCATGGGGATCTTTTGGCTGTCAGTTGGGATTCATACTCAAAGGATATTCGTTTTGCTGCATGTACTATTTGTCCAGAACTAACCAGTTACGTTTGTAATGGATATGGGTTTCTTGTGCCTTACAACAAAGATGAATTCGATACAGAATGTGTGTGTTAAAGGAGGGAATAACCAGGAGTCTTTACTGCACTGTTCAGCGATGTACACCATGCGTGTCATCCAACATTTCTGTGCTTACTTACCCAACCAAAGAGATCTAAAGTGTGTATGTTTGTTGTACTGTAATAGGGGTTTGTGCCTGGACAATTAAGTGTTTTATTTGTATTCTGAGATGATGTGAACTTATTTTTCTAAACACTATACTGAATAAACTTTATATTTATACACATCTTGTGCTGCAAACCTTTCTGCTTGTATTTTAAATTGAGTCTGCTAATTTTGGTTGGAAAAGCAATCTAAACTGAAGGCAATTGTTTTTACTGACTTATGCTAAAGGTAGAAGCCATAGTAATTGCTTCTTGTTGCTATCAGCCTAATCCAAAGCCCAGTGATGCTTATATGTGGTTTTTCTGCTGACTTTGACAGGTTTTGCATTAGCCCTTAACATTTGCTTTTAAAATCTATGTTCTACCGGACCACAAGTCTTCAGATTTATCCTTAGCCTTGCTATTCAGTATGCCCATACAGTACTGCTTTTATACCTACCTTATGCAGATAATGTTAGCAGTCAAAAGCATGTTTAAACTAGTACTGTTTAATATGCATTGGATAAAATTGCTTCCTGTGCATCCAGGCATTTTCTAAGTTCTTGAACATGACTTATTATTTATACTGTAGAAGTAGTCCATCTTTGATAAAATCTCCATTTAGACTGAAGTACTTCAATATTGGCCTAATTACCACCCATTCTTTCCATGCAGATTTTGAGAACAAACTGAAATTTGTATCACCCTGGCTACATAGGTGTTTAAAAGTATTGTTGAATTATTTTAGGGCCACATCCAAATTGTTCTTGTAGACACCTAATGCCAGGAAATGCTTCTCAAATCCCCCATCCCCTTCCTCTGAATCACCACTAGTACCACCAGTTTCTCACTGGACTGGGAGCAGTATTATGGTTAGTGATGTCCACTGGTAGCCGAGGTTCTTGCCCCACCTTCCTCCTTAGGGAGTTTGAATGCTGATAACCTACCATATAGGTTAGTGTTCTTGTCACCTGGGCAGGCAGGACTGTTGCAGGTGTGGGGCAAAGCATCAAGAGAACAAAAGGAGAGGGACGCTGCCCTGTCTGGAGATGCTGAGCCCTGCTTCCAATTCTGTTTGTCACCGGGAAAACTGTAAAGGGTGCTGGGGGCAGCACAGGCGCCCCTGGCTTCACATCCCCTCCCAGCAAGGCTGCAATATATACTCATAATGTATTAGCTTTTACCCCTAACTGTACCTACCCCTGCTCATCATGTACTATCTGGAAAGCCTTCTAATGGCAGCCCCTCTTACAGTCCCTCCTGCAGGAAAGGCTTCTTGGAAGGTATTAGCCAGGATCCCTGTGTGCCTGTGTTTGGAGAAAGGGGAAAAGACCACTTGTGCCCAGCACTCAGCCTTC